CCTTCCCCAACACCTACCTGTTACGTCCCGAATCTCTAAACCCTTTGGCAAAAGGATTCCTATCAATCTTCAGACGAGTTATCTGTGAAGATGATTAAAGAAATCATTACCTGCAATTCAGCTAAGTAACACACAACACAACTATACTAACAGAATTAAGCCAACAGTGGAGTAGAAGCATCTTCACATTTGCATGGTTTCAGATGGTTGTCCTGAAATACAGCAAAGTAAGGACCAGCCTTCTGATCATTATTTTTGTTCATCCCCAGAGAAGCTAATAGGTATTTAATGCTACCAAACGGCAGGCTGGAATTCTTGCAAAAAATCTTCTGGCAAATGTCATTCTTCACCTGAGAGAGTATATTGCCTAACTGCAATAAAATTTAAATTAAATTTTATTTCTGTACGGGTCAAGAAGGAAATGTGAAAAGAGAGATTATCTCTAGGCTATTATCCCCCATTAAAAAAAACAGCTAAACGCCCCTCAAATACTTGTAATTTATTTAAATAAATGGGATAGACACCAAATAATTATATTTCAGTATTTATATGGCTCTCCTGATCTTCTCTTTGTAAAGAAAGCAAGGCACCTATAATTTCCCAAAATACAGCTGCAATAACTTACAAGGAATTAATAAAATCTCACAACACTAACTGTGGTGTCACTATTTAAGTGGTGATAAGAGCCAAACACCAGAGTCACGCAACCTGCCGTTTACTTTTGACTTTGAATCTGTGTGGACCCAGATAAGTTTCAGTTAATAATATAGACTGAATGCAGTTAATGAAAACAGCGGCAGCTTTCCTCAGACCTCAGCTTCTCTGTTAAGGTCCTGAGAGTTGTGAAATCACTGGAGTCAGGAACAAAAGTGCTTTTAAAAGCTCTATCCAGACCTGTATCTACACTTGACGGTACAAAACCACTTTTAAAATTTAGACTGCTCTTTGCCTTGTGCTTCAGTGCTGTATTTATAATTCAGACACCATTAACTATGCTAACTAGACTGTGTGTTCTTTATAATAAGAATGACTTTTCACATGCAGCGTCTAGCCCACATGGCTTGAAGTCTCAGCTATAGCCTCCAAGCCTGCTGCAATACTACTGGTGAGAGCTACTCGTAATATGAAAAGGGTTTACACAAAGCTTTGTAATAAGTGGTATAATAAAAGCATCCGTTTTTCTCCTATCTCTTACTTCCCTGATTGACTCTGAAAAAGCTTGTAAAGTGCTAAGCAGAAAGCCCATGTTACCTGTTGATTTTGGTACGCGGTGACAGTAGTGAAAACTGTTTCTGGAAAGGAGAAGGCTTTCACCCCTTCTCCTGACGGGATAGGCTTGACAGGGGACAGATCATCTCCACAGTCTTTTCGGATGACGTGGACACGAGGCTGATATTTATGCATAGAGTGAAGGATAATCTATGCAGTCATGAAAGGAGAAAGATAACATTTATTAGAAAGGACACCCTGCTGTTTCAGGACTAATAGCTTTTTGGAACAGATTATGGTATGTGTTTACCATGCCACTTACTGGAAATCAAATGTTTTCTTTAACCTCTGAAGGTTCTTATTACAGTAGTCTAATCCCTGTGCATTTGTGTTATTGCCAGCCCTAAGCATTTAAAAATTATGACTCCGGAGCTCCAGATTCTGAGACTGACTCAATTGAGACTGGCTCAAGAAAAAAAATAATCAGGAGTGAAGTCCTGGTCCCACTGGGATTAGGAAAATTTTGTCACTTTTTTTCCACTGGAGCTTGGATTTGATCTAACAGGATTAAGCAGCAGCATTTGCCTTTTGGTTTTGGAACCTTCAGGATATGCTTAGAGCAAATTTTTCCTGATATTCCAAAGGCTGGAAACATATCTTGTTTTAAACACAAATTGAGATTCTCACTCTCTGAAGGAGCAGAAACTTAAGATTAATACCAAAACCTAAAACTGTAAACTGTTAATAACCCTTTATTATAATACATATAAATAATATCGATACACAAATGCCTACCAGCATAAAAAAGCTCAATTAAGTATAAAGCATAAACAAGAAGTATATGGACTCATAGTGCTTAAAATTAAACAAAAAAAAACCTCTTGGTACTGCTCCCAAATTTTAGAGGAGATGTAAAATACAGAATTTTCCCTCTATTTCACTCCACTTCAGCTAATCACTACTAAAATAGAAAATTTCGAGAAAAAAATAATTGGAAGCTCAACTATTATTGTTGGAAGGCCTAAGAAATTAGTAACTCGACAAATAAATAGTCCTGTGGCTATCAGCCTGTGGAACCCCTAATCAAGATTCAGGGGAAACTTTTTAATTTCCTGCTCCTTGAGCAGCCTCAGAATATGCATGTGTTGAGGCACTTGACAGAGCCCTTGTGCCAGACACCGTGGAAACTCATTCATCCAAATGACATAGAGGACATTACATTCGTTTGGATAAACTAGAGTTTGGCTAGTTTAATACAGTTGGTCCTGGCCAGATGACATGACCTTGTTTTGGATAAGACAAGTTTCTGGATAATCACAGGTTTTATTAGCCTGTAAGTAAGCTTTTGACAATGACATCACAGGCTCCAATTAATTTGCTCAGGGAGTGCGCTATGGATGTTCTCATGTGTAGCCTTTTCCTAGTTTCTGAAATCTTGCACAGAGCAAGATTTTTATCGTGCAAATGTGTACTTTCTTTTACAACATGCAGTTCTCCGCTGGCAAAGATCTACAAAATGAAAATGTAGAGAGGACAGCACATTCCTGACCCTGTTTTCCTGTGAACACCCCAAGATACCAAGGGAGATACTGGTCCAACAGAAAAAAGTGATCAAGGAAAACCCTGTTCCACTGTTCAAACCCATCACTATTCTGTGTCTTGGAATTTGCCTGGGTGCCAAGAAGCGTGCCACATTCTTCCCCTACCCAGACTACTTTGCCGCATCAGCTCTGCGGTGTAAACTACCACTTGCCTACACAGCGGGCTTGACCACACGCAATTATAACCCAGGCAGCTATGATCAGCTCTGCTCAGGTATCGTGACAAGTCAAGTCACAACAGCATAGAGATGACCACCTCCCACTCCTTATCTGGGTAGCTATTCCAGCTAAACCCATCCTTGTCATCTCTTAAGAGCAACCTGGCTAGGCTCTGTGCTATGCTGAAATTCCTGGAGCTGACCCACTGTTAGACAATTAGTGAATCCATAGCAGGAATATTTTTTTCTTGATTTTGTACTGTGCCTTGTACAACAGGATCTTCGTTAATGACTGCGACTCTGAATTCTGAATAAGTAATACATAACAGCAGAGCTCTGGTGAATTAAAGAACAGCTGTATGTAGACAGAACATAAAAGGAGGAGAAGATGCAATGCCCACTCTGAAAACCCTTTAGCTCTATTATTCTAAGCATCACCTGAAGTTACTGCAATGAAAAAGCTAAGGAAAAGCAGAATCCTGCCTTTCACTTCACATTGCTTCCACATTCAACAGCACAAATGGGATCTAACAGTTTATCTGCAGAACCAGCAACCTTCCCTTCGTACTAAACCAACAGTAAAAACCCCAACCAGAACGTGCCCTGCCAAAGGCACAAACCAGCATTGCTTTTACCACACAGCTGAAAAGCCTGCCTCTCTCTACAAACCCCTCACAGGGCCTGACCATAACACTTTGCGGGGGGAATAAAACTCTCCTAGCAAATGTAAAATTACACAAGCACCTGCAGACACACAAAGCTGGGATTTACCTTTGGGATTACCTTCACAGTACGGCTTTTGAGCGGTGTTCCCATGATGAGGCCTCAGAGCTGGCCCTGAGCTCAGGCACCTCCATGGCACAACCTGCACAGCCAAGAGCCCGATGCTCTTTCGCGGGGGAGATGCCAATCCTCCGGCAGCTCAGCGGTGCACAGATTACACAGCCGCTTCCCCACCATCATCATGGTCCTCACCCTGATGCTCTTTTCTCCAAAAATCCTTCCTGCAAATCTCATTTATTCAGGCTTTCTGCAGTCAGGGAAGTGTGTGGGGCTGAGAAGCACAGATTCCCTCTTCACAAAGACAAAAAACTGCAAGTGCAAAGGCTGATGTTTCCCAGCTTTTCATTGTGACAAGAACATATAACTACCCACTGACTGTAAGCAGAACTTACAACTTGGAGCCAAGTCTGGGCAGAGTAACAGTCAGCCTCTGCTTCCAGCCTCACCCCACTTTCAAATGAGAAAAATAAAAAAAGCAACCACCAAGGAACAATTAACACGCTAACAGTCTCATTTTCACTAAAAATTAAAAGATGTTCCTCTGCATCAAAAAAAAACTCAGTTGAAAAGCATGGAAAATAGAATAAAAAATATTGACTTTTCCCCCTCTACTGAAATTCAGATGAAAAACTGCATCAAAACAGAAAAATCAACCAGATCTAGCCAGCTGAAGGGAGAGACTACTTTTGCAGTGCCGCACTTACTCCGCAGACGAGAGGGGGGTGAGAGGTATTACCAGGAGCTTCTAGACTACGCACCTCTCCGTTTACTTTTCCTTTCCATCACAGCTCAAGATGACAGATACAAATGCCACTAAGTGTCTTAATGGTGCCATTGGGCCTTAATGCCTCTACAAGCACACAATCTTTCTGAAGTAGAGAATTCACCCTGGGACTCACTTTTGAGGTCAAAAATACACAAGGCAAACGTATTCTTACAAATTTTGCTTTATCTCAGCCTGCAAGTGGAACTCAGGTATCAGAGAGTGTCCTACGTGCAGATGTACTTCAAAATCTCCCCGCAGAACAGCGCTATAAAATTACGAAACTCCCACTCAAAATACTGATGAGAACAGCAGCAGGCAACAAGCAGCCCGGAAAGGGTTTGAGCAGCAAAACAAGTCATCTTAGAGATGGCCGATCTCCCTTCACAAGGAGCTAATCCCAGGCCAATGCGGTGCAAGGGGAGGTGGCTGCCATGAACTACTACCACGGTGTAAATACCCCACAGGAATACTACCTTAGTGCCTGTCTATAAATGCTGTCCCCGTTCTCATTTAACTCTCACAGATTACGAGAGTTAAAACTCTGGAACAGGTAAAAGGGCCCTGGGTTGATCTCATTTGAGCTCCCTACCTCACAGCCTACAAGATCAAAGCCCCAGCCCTGGGATTTTAACACAAAAAATCTGCAAAAGCTGATACCCCTGAGGAGCACAGGAAGAATAAAGGAACAATTTCAACAAGGATTAAAGCCCCAGAACCAGACAGCATGGAAAGCATCGCCAAAGAACAACAGCTAAAGCCCAACACTGCTTGAACAACAGGAGGAATGATGGCAGAGCACAGAGACTCTGTCAAGGTGTCTCTGAGCCATTCTGCCTAAGCAGGAGGGGAAAAAAAAAAAAAAAACTTTCTAATCATCTCCAATATACCCCATCTCCCACACAGGGGTGGCAGAGTCCAAACACTTGATGTTAAAGCAAATATTCAAGGGACAGTACAGCTTTGACTCCTAGCTCTTCTAATCCCCCATCCCTCCCCTGGTACCCTTTGAGAAAAACAGTTCCTTCCTGCTTATGAGAAACAATTGTTTTTTATATTCATCACAAAATATGATTATTCGTTTTCCATTATTGCTGGAGGCATTCAGAGGCTACATAGCTTTTTCAATACAGCATTCCACACTACCATAGCTTTAAAAGAAAAAATGTACCCATTGGAAGAGACACTTTTCTGCTTTCTGCTTTTGCCTTTTCTGGTAATTATGAATGACATGTTTGCAATTTCCCAGATTTGAGAAATATGAAATTATTTTACAGTCATCCTTCTTTTGTCCTTTTATTTTAATACTTAAATTTCCATTTTGGGGAGGAGGGGCGCTGCCGTAGCTCTGAATCAGTTCAATGTGTCTCAAATCACTGAAGTAGGGCTTTGCTTCACTAGTTTCCAAATCGAAACACTTAACTAAAGACCAGAAAATTTATATCCCCCCACATTATGAATAATGGCGTGCTGTGTACACTACACAGGTTTCAGTTCAGAATAAAAACAAAGCTAAGATCTGAGATGGAAAAGTACAGCAATACAATTCTCTACATAGCTGAGATTTTATCGCAAGACAGTTTGAAACGGCAAGTGCACGAGTGGACCATGGCACCCACGTATCGCCCCTCTGAAATGAGTGAGTACAAAAACCAGCTGGTCTGCTCTCCGTTGGGAAAGCGACATTTTACCCATTCGCATCTGCTTCACTTTTTGAGGCCCTTACGATAGAGTCGGGAGTCAAAGAAAGCAGCTCCCGCTTGAGAAGAGTCACAAATACATGATCACTGGGGAGACTAAGGAAACTACGTGTGCTAACCTTAATTCAAAGGGACACTGACACATGACACCCCATAACCGTTATTCTGGAAAGAAGCAATGTAAAACGTCTTTCTTACAAGCCTAAAGAAAAGCACTGCTAACTCAGGAGATGAGAATATCCCCGCATTCTTTTTAAGGAGGAGCACAATAAAATTATGAACAGTATTATATGGAAGAGAGGCTTTTTATCCTTCTTAATCACATTTGCTAGCTCCATCCAGCAAGTCTCTTGTCACATAAAAGTTGTAGCTCCTGCACAATTTGACCAGAATCTCATGTTTATCTCCTTTGCAAACACAAACAGGGAGAAAAAAGCTCATTCTTAAACTTGGACAAAGTTTATCGACAAAGTACCTGGCTTAATGATACAGTTACAACTATGCTGAAATACATATGTAGTATCTCTGTACTCTGCTTTAGGTATGTTTTCTTTCACTCCCTTCGGTGAAGGAGAAAGTATCCTGCTTAATGAATCGAGCTATGCTAAGGACAATGGAATCCACATCCTGTCTCAAAACTTGCCTCCAACTTCTTAAAACTCTACCACTTGGAACTCAGTGCTCCTTCTGAAAGGAAGCCAACATTTGCCATTTATTACGGGATTTTGTAAAATTAGACTTCACCCTCACTAAAAACAATTCTTATTTTTTAATTATTTCCTAAGGTGTCAAGTAAAACTATTTTAGGGATTGCTGGAAAGATACTGGCTTACATCTGTCATGTTTCAACAGTTTTGAAGAGAAAAGGAAATATTAACATAACACATTTTGTCACATTAGATAATGTCATAACTAAACAATTTAGAACTTGCAAACAGAACACTCATACTGCATACGTCTTCGCCAGTTTTTTCAGAAGTAATGAGCCTCAGCTGTGAAAGGGTCTTGCTTCATAAGGTATGTAATAAATCATTATCGGAGCGAACCCAGCTCCCATGTTGTTCGTTTTTGACTGCAATTATTAACACCTCATGGGATTTCACACAAATGTTTAGGTTAAGAAAACAGTTAAGTGTATTTTTATTCACATGAAGTTATTACACACTATTAATGTTTCTTCTAGCCACTTGTGAATTTAAGCGTCCTTTTTGATCGGAGCAGAAGTTGCAAGTAACACACTCGGTGGGAAAACATGAGAGCAAGTCTGCCCCTTCGTAGCAGGCAATTTAGCCTTGTAAAGTCTTATTTTGCAGAAGGAGTTCTGTTTTTGAGGGGGAAGTAAAACAGCAGGCTCTAATAAGCAGTTAATTATCGGAGCAGAAAGTAAGCAGATTTTAGATCTGGACGGTGAAGTTCCAAAACAGCTTCGAAAAGTCAAGCCTATTTCTGGCACCCTGGAGCGGTACGTCAGAGCCTTTCAGAGCTGAGCAATGCGCCTACATATAACACTGCAGAAGAGCAAAGTACTCACATGCCCTTGATCATCCAGCTCGTTATTGGTAAGCTTCAGTTTGTCGAAGCTGATCACTTGTCTCATCCACGTCTCCCCGGAGGCGGGTGAATCGGGGTGAATATAAACACGAGGAGGTACTGGGGAGTCAGCATTACCAGCCACCATCCACTTGGAGCTATGATAAACATACCTATAAAGAAAACAAATACCTATAACCACAAAACCCGAAATAATTTACCAGACCCATTCAATATTAATAAATTAGGGCCCATACATAGGGCAAGAACCCACCAATTAACAAAACATAAAAGGGCTATAAATAAAAGGGGTTTTTTTTAGTTTCAAAACATTGTTCTGGTACCTGCAAAAGTAAGATTAAAACCCACGCTCTGATCTGACCTTAGTCGTCTTAAAATTAGTAATAACCTTAACACTAGTCTCCACACTGAGCTTTAAACTGGTGTCAGTTCACTAATCGCTACAGCTCTGCTCTGAACAGGCTTCGGCAAACAGGGAAGGATCTGGTCCTTCATTTGTCAAATCGAGTAGTAATTCCAAATTTGGAAGATTCAACATGTTGAGTCTAATATGAGAGTCTATAAATAAAGCTATCGAAGGGAAAGAACATGATGATTGGGAAAAATAATGAAACTATGTCAAACTATGCTCTCACTATTTCTGCAAGACCATATTAATTTTCTTGAATAGTACTGCAGAAAGGCTTAAAAATGAAAGAACACAGCCCATATTTCATTTGATAGGTCAATGCTGACACCGTTATTTTCTAATAAAAATAGTGCCTGCTTTAGTAGAAAACCTATTTTGAAGGCAGACACTTCACAGGGCAATTGAAAAAGCGCTAATTAAAAACTTCCAAGGTATTTGTTTCAAGCACCCAATAATTCCCCTACATTTTTTAATAAAAAACAAGAAAGACCTTATCAAATTGTATATTTGTACAATTCAGTTCCTTATTAGAAGAAGACAAACAACATCATTGGAAAAGAAAACAAAATGATCCAATATACGCATCGCTCTGTACAATTCATATCAGTCTGTAAAACTAAGACTTAGAATAGTGAAAATTCTTTCCTGGAGACAAATTCTCAACCCCAGACCACAGTCAACTGTTGCAACGTTTTTCATTTATTTCATAATTGTTGGTTTATACTAAATACATGATTTACCTACAAAAGTAAATAAAGTCATAAATACACATAAAATATTTTAAGCAACAGCTAAAGCTTCCAAATATTTACAAGGTCCAATTTTGCTAGAAATATAGACCTAGATGAAGTTTTCCTCATTTCCATTTAGTTTTGCTATCTGCTCTGACAGCTAGGCTCCATATGTGACTGCTATTGCACCTTTCAAGTTTAAAGGTCTGCAAGACAGTTTGCAAAGCCACATGAACTTCCAAAGTTAAAATAATAGTCAGCAATTTTTAAAAAATCATAGATTGCACAGCAAAGAATGAAAAGTGGAATCAAGTAAAACATTAATATTTAGCAGGAAGGTTAAAGGTGCAGTACTCATACATGATTACAGAAATACTGCCCTTCATACAACTTTCTTAAGTTGCTTCAGTTATCTGGGGACCACATATCACACTGAGCAGACAGAGCAGCTCAGTATGACTGTATTTATCCTAAATCAAATGAGGTTTAAGCAACTCCTATTCAGTATAACTGCTTTTGGTTTTTAATATTAACATTTTTAAACAATTTGGAATAACTTCACTTTTTCTGTGAAATAAGGAATTGGTCAGACCTTCCAGGAATTATATGCTTAGACTGCTAAGTAAATGCACACATGCAACACAAAGGAAGAAAAGGGCTCTCGTTTCAGCTGCAGTGCACTGGTCCAAAGAAAAAACAAGCAGTTTTTCCCTGTGGTACAGTCAGAAAAGCCTCTCCCAACTGTACGTGCTGGACATCCTCAGCACTGGTATCTGCACCTTGCTGAAAAACACAGAATCTAAAACGGTCCTAAGAAAGTCCTTATATACCGCAGGCGAAAAGGACAAAATTGTCGTCAATGAGGTAAGGACACGCAAAAAACACAGGGCAGTGTTTGCTTAGGAAGCGAGGCAGCAT